CCGTGCCAGCTCCGAGCTGTGCCGGGATATGCCCGCGCTGCCCGTCACGGTGCGCTGTGCTCCGGTAACTCGCGTTAGCCGCGGGGACTGCGCCTGAGGCGAGAGGGAACTGCATCACCTCCCTGTGTCTGTGCTCCGGGGAGCGCCGTCCCCTCCCTGTCCCTGTGACAGTGCTCCAGGGCTCCCTGTCACCTTCCTGTCTCTGTGCCCTGGGGCACTTCATCCCCTCCCTGTCCTCGTGCCCAGTGCTCCACAGCACGCCATTCCCCTCCCTGTGCCCAGTGCTGCAGGGATTCCCATCCCCTCCCTGTACCCAGTGCTCCAGGGATTTCCATCCTTTCCCTGTCCATGTGCTCAGTGCTCCAGGGATCCCCATCATGTCCCTGTCGTTGTGCTGGTGTCCCAAGGCACTCTATGCTCTCCCTGCCCCTGTGCCCTGCACATTGGGGTACTCCCATCACTCCCATTCCTTTGCACAGAACAGAGGATCGCCAATCTCCAGGGCATTCCCATGTGCTTCTCCCCTCACAGTGTCCCCTGTACCTGTGCCCAGCACTCTGGGCCGGCCCTGCATGTGTGTGGTGAGTCTGACATCAGGATTGTCATCTGTGCTTTCAAACAGCACCTGTGACTGCAGCAGTAGAGAGAGGGCAGAGAATAAATATTTATCTATTTCTGTTGTAGAATCTTGGACTGTTAAGGGGTTGGAATGGACCTTAGAGATCTTCCAGTCCCAACCCTCTGCCCTGGGCAGGGACACCTCTCACCAGAACAGGTTGCTCAAGGCTTGAGCCAGCCTGGCTGTGAACACTGCCAGGGTTGGGGCAGCCACAGCCTCCCTGGGCAACCTGGGCCAGTGTCTCACCACCCTTGCAGGGAAGAACCTCTGCCTGATATCCAATCTAAATTTCCCTCTTTGAATTTCTCCCCATTACTACTTGTCCTGTCAGTGCAGTTCCTAAGGAAGAGTCAGGTTAGTGGGTGCATTTACCAGCATCCTGTGCAGAATCAGATTCTTATTCCCTCTGCAATCAGCTCCTCATTGTTTGATTTTCCTCACAGAATTCAGGCAAGCAAAACTTCTTACCAAGTGAAAAAGCCTGGGTTTGTTTAAGCCCACAGCAATTGGCAGCTTTTGGTGTCTGAGCGTGTTTGTTTTGTCTTGTTGCTTGGATTACAAGTCGGTGGTGACTTGGCACTGGTGTGGGTGCTGAGAGCAGCTGTAGGGGCACAGATGCATCTTCACCTGTCACTAAAGCACCTGGTGCTCCCATCAGCAGAAAGAAGGCTCAGTGTATGAGGGAGAAGGAGCACCTGGTGAAATGGACAGTCTTGTTTCATCTCCAGCTGAGGGAACTGGAAAGGGAAAGGCACAGATCTGTTATTGTGCACTTATCCTGGTTTCACAAATCATCTTGGTTTTGTCAGGCTGTGGAGAAAGCCAGGAGAGAGGGGGCTGCTTTTTTTGGTTTCATGGCTGTGAAGAGCATCCTGCAGGCTGATGCTGGCTGCAGGCAGAGTAGGATTGATCCTAAGGTTTGTCCTGGAGCCCATGGATGTCTGAGCACAACATCTGTGTAACCAAGGAACTCTGCCTACTTGTCTTCACGGGTTGCTAACCTTCACCTCGGGGGTTTCTCTGTGCAGTGACCCTGTGAAGTGCAGGGGCTCTGAGGGTGTGCATGAATTGTCACATGAGGGAAAAACAACATATTTCTGTTCTCCTTGGGCACTGTTCTCTGCCAGGAGTGCAGCACTGACAGTGTTGCTGCATCATTGTCTTCAGGTCTTGGCCTGTTCTCAAGCTTCTTCCTGCTAGCAGGATCAATACAATCCCTTGGCTTTTTTGCTTGGAAGACCTGACTGTGTGCCAGAAGGAAACCTAGTTGTGCAGTTCCAGGCACATCAAGAGTGAAGCTCTTGATGCAAACTCCTTAATTATCCCCATAC